GACCAATTGGAATACAAATAATAAAGAAAAGGAACTTGCTTTGCTTTGTAAAATGCTCATTTCTCAAGTCCAAGATGCCACCAGACGAAGCTATCGAAGAACTCGTCACGAAAATCTTTAATTATGATCTTTGTAGCAGCAATGCCACAGAAGTCACAGAAGTCATCTGCCATTCTAAACGGGTTCTAACAGACTTTTGTAGTAAATTTAATTATAAAGTTAATACAAAAGTCAAGGAATTCAAAGAAATAAGAAGAAGGGAAGGGAATATAGCTGCGCCAACAAGGATGGATATCGAAAAATTTATGTCAGTTAAAGCCGTTGAACGAATATTAAACAGATACTTAAAGCAATAAGACCAAACTAAAAGGTGCGGCACTATGGAACAGCTGATTCTACTTGTTAGGGAGGCATTTAGAATTCATTATGAAAAATATAATATTCAGGCTATTAAGGGTCTTGATATTAATTATCACAAGAGATCTTGAAATCCCAAGCAGGTAGGTAAAGAGATTGCCTTAAAGATTTCGTTAGAATGAAGCAATTATATATAAAGAAAATTTTAATGTTATGTTTATTCGAACATTTTAATTTTATATCCATTCTATGTAAAAATATTTGTTATTTGCGAAATTTTGCATAATTTGATTTGTGTTAAAGAACACATTTTAATACGTTTATTTAATTCATTCTTTATTATCATTCTTTATTTACAGCACAGCTTTATAATAACTAGTACTAATCCTTTTACAACTTATAATATTCATTTAAATTGAACAGGTTCAAAGAACCCGTAAAGAAACGTATGACGGAATTCGCAGCTGATGAGACGTGTGACGAAATCTTTAAGCATTTTAATTTTTATTGTTATACTCCGCTTTTCCTTCGAACTTTCAATTTCAAAAACATCAATGCATTATATTAACGACTAATTATATTCTGAATACAAATTTTATTTTAAATGTATTAGGTAATTTTAAATATAAAACATTATTTCGGATATTGTATGTTCAGGAATAGAGTTCTGGTCATCTAAAAGTAAGCATTTTTATGTTTTCAGTACAATACATATTAATTAAAAATATATATATATATGTATTAAAATATTAAATTTTTATTTAAAAATATATTAGATATTTCGATCAGGACGTCAAGTACTAATATTGCGTCAAGTAATATTTATAATTTTTAAAATTTTTTTTTTATGTTTTTAAGCATTACAAGTTAAAAAAAAAAAATAAAATAAGAAAAAAAATAAGAAAATAACATTTTATTTCATTTTATTTCGTATTAAAAATACATATATATAATTTTCTTTTTAAAAAAAAATTTCGTAAAAATTCAAAAAATAGTCGTTTTATCGCAATAAGATAGAAATTACGTGTCGAAATTTTTTTAAAAAATAAAATTAAAGATTAATTGACGATCCTTATCACCTCCGTGCAGCCAATATAGAGTAATAAGGTAGAAATTAGAAAGCGAAAAATAAAAAAAACCGCTAGCAGTTGACTATGTAGTCACATGATGGCCACATGCTAGCGGCATTGAAACTGCTATTTCGGGGTTTCAGTAAAGAAAGGCATCCTTTTTGAAACATTCATTTGCGGGTTGAAAATTAGCGTTAGGAATTAACGTTGGTAAAAGAGGACGAGGTGAGACAATGATGGTGGTAGTAGTAGTACCAAAAGGTGAAATGAGTAATATTAGGTAAGACGATAGTGGTAGTAATACAAGATTGTTGAACATCTTGATGAGGACCAAAAGTCAATGATACTTGTGCCAGGAATTTCGGGTTATTGACACGACGGTTTAAAAGTCTTTTGATATGTGGTCCACACTCCTTGGATCCGATTGACAGCGCGGATCTTATGGAATTTTTTTTCAAATAACTTTTGGCAGTTTGACATTTAAATTTTTTCGGACGTTTTGGAATTGTTTTTAACTCATTGATAAATGCACCTCTTTCCTCCTTCCTGCCTGAAAGGGCCATTCGTAAAAGAAGAAATAATATATTTTTATGTTTTAGTTTTATTTAAAAAAAAAAAAAAAAAAAGAGCAATCCAAAACATAAATTTTACGTTCTGCGAGGGTTAAGTTTATAATTCCACCTAAAATTTATGATAAAGAAAGTCGTGAATAAAATTTCGTGAAATAAAAATTTCTGCTATAAATTGTTGATAACTTACCGATGACTTATTTGCTCAGCAGTGAATTTAGGAATGCGGCGACTCAATTCCAAATACGGATTTCTAATATTTCTCCCTTCACTTTGCATAAATTCCTTGATTTAAATCAGTCTGTATAATAAGAAAATAAGTGTTAAATATATCTAATTTTTTCTTACCAATAAAATAAAAATCACATACTTTTAAATCAAAAATATTCATGCTTGCGATATATTAAGATATACTGTATGTATATTCCTTTTTAATTTTTTTTTTTTTTTTTTTTTTTTTTTGAAAAAGAAGTAAAATCTTTGTTTTTTATATCAAAAAATTATATTATTAACGTTAAAATAAATTCGTCAAAAATGAATTACTAAATCGGATTTTAATAATTGTTTTTTTTAATTAATTTAAATTAACTGTTTTATAAGAATTCAAAATCTTTTTGTAGATTGCTTGTATAAAAAAAAATTTTCTTTTCTTCATTAGAGAGCGATATTTGTGTCATCTTAAAAGAAAAAATTTTTATTTTATCACTTGCATAGTGCATATGTCTAATAAACTTGTTTTTCTGCTCGTAAAATTATGGATTTTTTTTTAAATTTTATTTTTATGCCGATCATACCTCAATTTATACCCAAAAATTCAAGAAAAATTAGACTTTTTAAAATACTGTATATCGCAAATAAATGGGTCAACGAATACTGTAGATATGTATATAATTATTTATTTTGGATTTTTTTGATATTATTTAAGAAGTCTCTCATCATATATGGACAAGGTTTTTTATTTTTACCAAATCAAGTAACAATTATACACCAATTGGAAAATTTAGCTTTTATGAAGGTCGCCACTTAACCTTTTTTTTTATTATATTGCTTTTTAATCTAAATTTCTTTTTTTTGAATTCCTTTTACTTTTTAGGGTTAAATTATTTTAAGGTTCATTGGGCTTTTCTTTTTCAGGTTTTATGATATCGATTCTTGGAATATAATAAATATCAATCTGATCCTTTGAGTTCTTTTCTTTGTAAAACGTCTCTTGATTAAAAATAAACAAGGTACCGCATCTTATAAAACAACCGTTCATACATTTGTCATTATTGGTAAAGCGCTTTTTAAAGAATTTCCCCAATGAAAGGAAATGTAAGAACGCCAACGTTATAAACACAAAAGTATGAAACAATAACAAAAACAGGTTATTAAAGAATCTATACCTCATTAGGTTGATATTGAACGTAGTTTTACAGAGTTTGAAATGAAATTCGTTTTTTTAGGTCTTGACATAAGCTATATTTCCATGTTGTGTCATATTAAAATACCTTCATAATTAAAATGATTCATCGTCAATCATTTTCCATCATTTTACGTTTTATAATCAAATATTTTTATGTTATGGTTATTTTCCCTACCCCGTTATTTAATAAAGTTGAAAATTGAAATAAATTTAATATATTTTTTAATATATTAAATACATTATATATTATATAATGTTTGTGAAAGGGAATTTTAATGAAGTACAAATAAAGCATAGCTTGAAATCTGGATTGGAGATGAAACGTTACAAGATGATAAGCTTCTACATTTTTGGGTGCTATAGAAAATTTTGAGTAACCATAGAAACAGAATTCGTCATCAAATCAATTTTTGAATGGTGATTCGAATGTATGGTCATGTGTAGATGTCCATACCTGTTTTGTTATGTAATATAGGGGAATCTTAACCTGTTCGAGTATACCGCAGTATGGATTTTTACGTATGGATTTTCTAAAATTCATCGCAGCTATTGCAATTCATATTCTATTCATTTTATGAGTAGACAATTAAATGAAAGGGTTTTTTATAGCAGAAACTAGGGATGGTTACGGTCGGTCGTGGTCGGTCAACGATCGGTCAACAGTCGGTCAAAAAGTTTGACCGACCGACCGTTAACTGACCGAATTTAATTACCGGTTGACCGACCGGTTAATAGTAATATAATTACAGTCAAATATTATAATTTTGATTCTTGCTTTAAAAATTCTAGCGTGGCATTTTTTTAAACTACTTTGTCATTTTTGATGCGCAGCATTATCGCGAAGTTTAATTATTTTTTTTAAGAATTTGTTTCATAGCAGTTGGAATTTGAACTTTAAAGTGTGCACGTCATCTGAAGTGACAAATCAAAATTTTTCCGACAGAATCCAAATAAATAACTAGGTTTATAAATCGGAATTACGGACCGGCAAAGATCTTTCTTTTTCTTTAAATGAATTGCAATATAAACAAATACAAAAAAGATGTAACGTGTAATACAACTTGATAATACTTAACCTTTGTTTTTAAGAATAAATCAGGTATCCAACAAGTTTATTTATTGTGATTTTTTTTTTTTTTTTTTCAAACGAGGGGGTTTATTTATTTTTAAGGAGATGTGGATAAAAATGATTAGATCAGACTATCACTTGCGCCACGATTCGGTCGGAAAATTTTTGATTTGTTACTTCAGATGACGTGCACACCGCCATGAAACAAGATCATCATCATATTTATTTGAAGTTTATAACTTGTTTGTTCACAATGAATCCTTTTCGTGGGTAAGACTTCCAATTCTTTATTTTCAGTTTTGTTTAAATATTAGATTTTCTGTATATAAATTTCAAACCAAACCATACCATATTTAATAATATATTAAAAATAAAAAACGGGTTAAATATGTTATTAAGAAATACTGTATACTGTGATAAATCATCAAAAATCAATATTGCATGTAAGTTTCTAAAACTTGTTTCAATTCCCCCAAGATGTTTCATTTATTAGTCTCCGTATTTAAGATTCCAAAAATGCTAAAATTATGAAATTATAAATATCAAGGTAATTGGAACATGGCTGCCTACTTTCCTCTATAATTCCTATCCAAAGAACAAGACCTTTATAATAATAATTAATCTTTTGCCGTTAACTCATTATCATCGTTCTCTTAATACTTTCCATTATCAAGGATTTTCATAATGAGCGAAATAAGCGAGTTGCAGATCATTCCATATACCTCTAAAGATTATTACGCTTCCAAAAACCAACAAAAAAAAAGAGAACCAAGTATGTTTATGTCCTTTCGCAAGGAAAAGATGAAGAGCAAGCCTACAGATATTTCATTTGCCGATTATTTTGACGAGGTGACCAATTTATGGAAATGTATGTCGGAGGTCGAAAGATCTGAATGGCAAAAGAACTACAATAATAATCAGGACAAAAAGTTACGCAAAGATCATAAAATTGAAAATCGTTTTTGTCGTGGAAAATCCACTAAAACAAAAACAAAAACAAGAACCAACAAAATTTCCATCAAAGATAACAGCAAGTAATCTCATAGTCTCAATGAATTTTTTTTTTTCTTTTAAATGATTGAATTTTTTCCTAAAAAAAAAAAAAAAAAATTTAATATTTGCAATAACCTCCCCCCGTTCTTTACCCATTTTATCAATTCTTTTTCATATTATTATATTTATTATAGAACTTTTTTTTCTTTGATAATTAACAAACGAAAGAAAGAAATTTAACCCTCTGAATTTTTACAAGTCGAATGAACGAAAGATTTTATTTTCGTTACATTTATTGGTGTTTTATATTGGCGTTATAATTATTCTTCATACTATTCTTTTAAATTTATTATGACACGCAAAATATGTATCGTTAATATAACATAGGTTATTCGTTTGTGGTATGTAAAATTTTGGAACATGGAAAGTGACATAAATAAATTTACATTTTTATAAAATAATAAACTTTCAATAAAATTTAAAGTCATGATAGTTAAAAAAAAAAAAAAAAAAATTCCAAACGTACGTATTGAGATCCAAAATCATTTTTCTGTAAAGTATTACAATTGCGCCTTTTGTACAATTTCAATTGAATATGTGAGTTGTTTGATGTCTTGTCTCAATTTAATCCAACATTTTTGAAATGCAACGAATTTAACGCTTTTTTAAAAAAATTATATATTGTTCGATTTAAAAACTTTGTGTTACTTGAATTTTTTTGGTGCGACCATCCATTTTACAAAAAATTCATCTGGTAAAAAAAAAAGGAAGTATTTACCCCAAAAGTGAAGGGGGTTCGTTCTATAATTCTAATCAGACAAATATTTTTTTTTTTACTAGAAACTAATAGTGTTTAGTAATCACTTTCAATACATCAAACCAAGTGAAACTTTTGATATAGACCACCATCATCCGTTCATTTGAATTTTTTAGTGGTAAATTAATCATTAGACGTGGAACTTTTGGTTCTACTAATAGAACTACGGGGGATAGTTATAGTTTATATTTTTTATATTTTTAAAATTTAATAAACCTATAACAGTGCGCAAATAGTTAACATTCATGAGAAATACGTATTTCCGGACAAATTTATTTCTGTTCCCGATTTAGTTGTTGGAATTGCATCAACAAGCGGTGGAGTTAATGATGATTTAAACGTAAAGCTTCATAAATTGGAAATAGGACGCAATTTCAAATGAGCAACAATTCAAACAATCTTAGTTTATTTTTGAACGGATCTAGTGTACAAGCTATTAGTTGATTGTACCTGTAAAGAACCATCATATATATAAAAATAAAGCATGTGTGTAAAATAACGAGTTATTAGTTTTGATATCCAATAGTAAATTACAAACAATATCGTAGCACCTAACAATCAGAATTTAATAATGTTTAGCTCATTAGCTTTGTCTTGATGAGAGTGATTAGTATTTTGTTTCTATATAAGAAACCATAGATACACGCGATCTGCTGCCGTCACTGGTGCTAAAATCAAAAGGACTTTTAGTAGTGTCTAGACTATTTTCTTCGAGACACACATATTAAATCATTTTTTTAATTAATATTTATTCGATAAGAATTGGTTAAATACAAGTTTTTAAGAAATAAATACATAATCCAATAATGAGCCATGGCCTCGTCACCTTAGCGATAGTATTCGAAAGACTGATTAACCGAAACTGTCAATTTTATAGAAAATTGTACATTAACAATTATAATATTAAAATCACGTCTTAATAAACCAATGTCCAAATAAAGAATATTTTTTTTAGCGATAATTCGAATCCTCTCTTTCACACACAATTTCTAATAAATTATAATGATCAAATAATAGCAAAGCGCATTTGTGATTCAAAGTCGTAAGCAGCACGACAATTAAAGTCAATAAATTGAGCTACATGACACAACGACTAAAGGTAATCTTCCCTCAAATAATCAATAACAATAATAAAATTTTTTCCACCCTATTTTTGTGAAAGTATAAATCTCACATATGTATGCTTAAGAAATATTGCATGTGTTTTTATTCTTTGCGTTTGCACCCATAATTTCGACATGGATCACCATGCTTTGTTTACTCTTCAAAACTTTGTTCATTTGCCGGCAGGCCCTAATTTCCTTTTCGTAAGTTTCAAATTATTACACCAGTAACATCATCCAAAGTTTATATATTAATGTGACTAGTGAATTTTGAGCAAAAAAACGATAGCAATTTAATAAAAACTCTTAATGAAGCAGCAAATTTTCACATTGAAACAAAGTAGCGTGAAAATAATTTTAGTTTATAATCTATCATTGATGTATTTGTTCAATACAGGTCATTTCGCATAATTTTGGTCTGTAAAATGATAGAACTATAATCATTAAGATATAAATAAATGTTAATAAACGATGCGATGTTAAGCGGTCATAAAATAATTTGAGCAATTTTAATTCTAATTATATAAAATGTTATATTATTGTATTCAGTTCTTTCGTTTATGTAATCTGTATAATGACCAATGAACATCCAATTTTCAAATTACGTTTCGTTGGTTTTTTATGAATGCAGTGAATTATAATTCTCGGATTTCCTTTTGATGGGCAAATTACTTGAAAGTTAAAATTTTTCTTATTGTCAACATTTACTTTTTTGAAAAATGTTTAAAATTTGCGTTGGTATTTTTTTCTTTACGTTAATTTCAAATTTATTTGATACTTGATAACAATAATCCTCAATATTTGAATATAGAATTCCTTTTCCTAAAGATGTAATTATTCTTTGACGTAATTCTTCAGATAAAGGTTGAAAAATGCTAATTGGATTCTCTAAAGATTTAGCTCAGGCTGTTTCATCAAAATCACCATTGGGTTGTTGTCCTCCAATTAAATACGTATATATTTTCTTCGGTGTAATTGTATTTTCTTTTTGAATTCTTGGCACCAAATCCTATCTTTGTTTTAAGAATTTCAGAAAAGTTTGCCAAAAAGCAATCTCTTTATCTTTCTCTTCAGAATGTTCCTTTGCAATTTTTTTCCCTTAAATATACTCTTCCGCCTAATATAACTTCAGTTTGAATGAATTCCCCGTAATCTTTAATAATGCTCTCAAAATGCTCTCTAGGAACTTCGGAGTTTATGGCACTTTTCACCTTCCCTCAAATTCTTCAGTTGGTTTCAAAGAACTTTTATCAAATTGCAAAGATACTTTACAATAAATTGTGAAGCTATATGATACATTAGTTTCAAAATTCGAATCTTTATTTTGTGATTGTTCGTAAGATATTCCCAATTTACAAGATCCACGCTAATGTCGAAAAATAGATTCGTCTTCGCCATCCAATCTTCTTGCGATTTAAATTCATGATCATGTCTTTTAAATCCTTTACCGTCAAGTTTAGTCATTACACAATCATTCATTTTAAATGCACTCTTATCAGCTTCCTTGGTTTTCGGAATTCCATCAAAAGTTATAATACGTCCGTAATCTATTTACGCAATTCGTTGAAAATTTTCCAATCAGGGTTTGAATTTTTCGTTAGGTATAAAATATTATGAATTTTTTCTATAATATTTTTTAAAACATTCTCATTTTCATCTTCTCTAGCTATTTCAGCCAACACTTCACTTTCAGTACCATTATTAATCTGTCTGCATTTTTTTTGCGAACAATGATGTATTGTTCATTTTAATTACACTATGATTTTCGAGATTTTTTACGAATATTTGATAATTTATCTTTTAGGTTTAATGTAACGCATGCAGTTCTTGATGACGAGTCGTCTATTATTAGAACTGTAATATCAACTTCATGACTTTCTTCTATATCTTCTGAAATAACCTCCGCTTCATCTCCTCTTGCTTTTTCATCCAAAAGGTTCTTAAAATTTAATCTCATTTTAAAATATTTTTTATTTTTTGGAATTTCGGAAAGCTTAATACAGTTAAGATCGACAGTGATATAAAATCATGATGTTAAAGTTTGTCATTAAAAATATAATTTTAAATCATGTCTCTCACTTCATGGATGAAATATATCGAAAATTTAATTCCTGAAAAAAGTATCAGATGTTATCAATACAAAGATTTCAAAGATTTCAAAAAAATTAATTTTGATGGATCCTCTGAAGTCTACCGTGCAAATTGGAAAAGTACTAATAAAGTTTTCGTTTTTAAATTTTTAGTCTTAAAAATGATAATATTATAAAGGAATTTGATAATGAGGTAAAATGCAATATTTATATTGTCATTACATAAAATTTTTTTTTGAAATAATAACTATTACGTATTTGCCACATAGCTTGAACTTTATCGTAAATCTGAGTTATTTGACAATATTATTCGGTTTTACGGGTTTACAAAATCAGGTTATTTAACGTCCTCGACCCAACATTCTCAAATCAACGAACAATATAGTAACAAACGTGTTTAAAACATTTGTAAATTATTTTCTTTTGCTTGAAAGAACCTTGATCGAATGTATATTTACATTTTCACTTTTAACTTTAAATTTATAATTATATTTGATTTAATAGATGAAAACCAATACGCGAAGGTATTAGAACATGCTGATGGTGGTTCGCTAAAAAATTATTTGAACCATAATTTCCAAATCCTTGATTGGAATGATAAATATGATCTGACGTATCAATGCATGAAGAAGGAATTATTCATTGTGTCTTGGTAATCTATATAACAATAATAATTCTTTTATTAAAAAAAAAAAAAATTGTTATATAATTAATTGTAAATTTTGCTTTATAACAGAACTCTGATAGTATATTTGTTCACAAAAAAATCCATTAAATTAGCGGACTTCGGATTATCAACAAAAGAAATTGGTATTAAGCGCCATTTTGTGGATCCACAGGCATTTAAAAGCACTCAATATATTCTCAATGAAAAAAGTGATATCTATAGTATTGGAATGATCTTATGGGAGATATCGGCCACCCTTACACAATTATCACTTGAAGAAAAGGAAAACCCAATTCTTGGTACATCATATGATCATATTATGCTTTATTCAGGTAAATAAATAATAATAATAATATATATATGTATTATATTTAGTTTAATTTATTTTAATTAATTTATTTTCTTTTTTATTTAGAATGTTGGGATCATGAACCGGATAATAGACCAACTATCAAGCAAGTAGTTGCAAGATTGCGAGCATTGTTAAGATCAAGAAGAGATTTACGATCAAATTAATGAAAGTCAAAGTTATTCAGAAATGGCTAATGGATTGGTAGCGCTATTGGTGAAGGCAATAAAAAAAGGAAAATCTCCGTGAACTGCGTCATTCGATTCTGAGCAATTGTTTATCATTGCACAACATCACGATTGAAAAAATTTGTGCCTGGATAGGTGAAAATAAAATTACAAACTTAGATCACGTATTTTTAATGGGATATTTGAATTATTCGGGATTTGGTACAGTTTTAGATGCTGGCAAAGCATATAACTATTTTAAACAAGTATCATCAAGTCACCCTGTTTCTCAATATTATCTAGGAAAATATTATGAAAATGGATTAGGTGTTACAACTAATAAACTACTAGCAAATGCGCTAAACAACATCGAGGTATAGTAGGTAAATTTGCGTTAGGAACTTGTTACGATGAAGGTGTTGGAACTGAAAAAAGTGATAATATGGCTTTTTATTGGTATAATGACGCTTGCACAATGTCAGATTGGAAAATTTTATCAACTAGGAATTTATGTTAATAAAGATTATAACAAGGCCTTTTATTATTATAGTCTTAGTGCAAAAGGGGAATATTCTCATGATATTTTTATGTTGTGTTATTGTTACTTTAATGGCTTTGGGACATCCATTGACAAAATGATGGCTTTTGAATTATATTTAAAAGCTGCAAATATGAAAACAATGATGCACAATATAATGTTGCTGTTTGTATGAATATGGAATTGTCACGATAAAAGACTTCGGAGGAGCTATGGAATGGAATAATAAATCTTCTGAAAATAATAATCATAAAGCTAAGAAGAGATTAGAGGAACTATCTGGGATTTTACTTTTGGAAGACGAAAAACAAATTGGTCAGTTTACTTATTTATTTTTATAACCAAAAACCAAATGTTTATTATATATTAATATTTCCAAAAAAAAAAATCAAATGAAAAATAGATACAAATCCAACAAAGCAGCAAATAATAGAAAAGTGGAAGTTGAATCATGGTTTGATCTTGGATGGATGTAGCATGCAACCAAATGAACGATCTGTTTTATCGTTGATGGCGATAAATTGTGCATTGATTTATATAATGGAGAGCCTATGGTCTATATCAGCGTAAATAATCCCAATATTCCACAAATTTATTCACCATTAACAAATAGAATGATGATGATTTTGAAAAATTAAAGTCGGACGTGTGCGTTAATTCCCCGGTTGTTGAGATCACTTATAGAACCGATCTATCGGATTCTTTTAAAAACTTTACAGATGGGGAAATATTCATGAATTATACGATCACGTTTTTGCATATAAGATTTTAGTCGGAGGACAGATATTTATCAAAGATTTCAATTTAGCTTCTTCGATACAAAAGGATGTTTTAAAACTTTATTTAATTTGGGCATATAATTCAGCTAAAGATGATGAAAACTCATTCAATAATAATTCTTTTGGATTGAACTTTTTACCGAGAATAGAAACGTCAAATGGTGTAAATTTAGATACCCCTAAAAAATCATCTAATTGGTTAAACAGTTTATATCAAGAAAATATTATTGATATTATTTCTTATGATAAACTCGTTTCGATCACCCAGTTAAAAAATGGAAAGTTAGATGAAAATTACGAGAATTTTGATGAAAGATATTTGGGAATCGCTAATTTTGAAAAAAAGGTTGAATTTGGAAAGGTGGATCAGTAAGATCGGTAATACTGAATACGTTGACTTAATAAGATGGATCAAAGAGTTTCGTATATTTCAAGGCCTTGTAATTCAATCCCATAAAGTGGAGAGTAGCAAGAAAATTGCCATGAATATTATTCAAGTTCCTCAAGTGAATTCGGTTGGCAACTTTTATTTTGAAATGATAAATCCAACGACAAAAGTTGAGGAATTTTTGATTACAATTAAAAACACTGAGCCTTTCCATTTATCAAAATTGATGATAACGAGACAGATTACATGAATTATTTTATTCAATTTATAATAAAGTGTGAACAATACGAAGTTCTTATCAATAAGAATCATTTAGAACCTTCATTTGAGTTTTGTAATGCCATAGAAAAAGCGCTTAATGAAATGAAACCATTAAATGCCTTACAAAACGTATTTAATGAATATAAGAACTTCTTTCTCCTAAGAATAGTCTTGGGAAAATCTCTCAAAATATAATAACCACCACCTATTTTGAAACTTTTGAAAAGATTTATTTAAAGTTACCAATACTTGAATCTTTAAATTCATATTTTAAGAAATGCAAACTTTCGCATTTCATTACACAAACAGGAAATATACTTGAAAAAGATTCTTTATATAATTGGATTAGCAATGCCAACCATAACGGTTTGGAAATAGTAGAGTATGATAAATTAATTTCTTTGTATGATATTCTTGGGTCAGAACAAAAGAAGAAAATCGATATAGTGACAAATAATAATAATCAAGATATAATGACTGGAATCACTGATTTGAAAGATTTAGATAACGAGAATACAGAGCATTACAAACGTATGTTCATAGAACCATCATTGGATGATTAAAGCTATAAAGTATATGGATCAGTTGTTATGGGAAACAATAAGGTGGAAGATTACTTGTAAAATTTGGATTTTATGATGTTAATGGATTTCTGCGATGATGATTCTTTTAAGGAAGAAATTCAAGTAGAAAGTATCAAAAAGTCCATCACTTTGCAACCAAACAATCAATATATCATATCGAAACTCAATTTCCTTTGTCACATGGATATAGTATACTTATTGGCACAAATTTTTCATCAACAAATTTTTATAATATTAGGCTAGTCGATTGGTCATATAATTGTATGAATTTCAATATAATGAAACAATCATGAAAGTTTCCGAGATATGTTCAGACGGTGATACTGACTCTCAACACGAGGAGGAAAATGATAATCACTGGAAAACTATAACAACATCATTATAGACTTAGACTTATATGTCTGTATTTTACGCTCAGATTATGGAAGTTCATTAAAGATTGATCATGGAAGAACGATGTGTCTTTTAGACTTATTTGGATTTACTTAAACTTACGACAATTTGAAATACAAACCGTTTCATGTATTTAATAAGTTGATTGACATTCAAAGTATTATCAAGCAACACTCTAAAGATGATGATGATATTCGGTTGATTAGTTCAGAAGGTATTCCCCCAATATAAAATCTTTCCTTTATTTTACTAAAATATAATTATACGTATATATTAGGATCAACGGTATTAAAAGCAGATGATCAAAATGTTCAAGAAAGTCCGAAGCAAGAAATCACCATGGCCGCTGTTCCAATTACAAAATTTCATCTTTTGATCTCAGAAATTGAAACTGCTTTTAATGAGATGCTTACATTGAAATAGTTGCCGAACATTATAAACGAACTTGTGCTGCATTATTACGAGTAATTCATAATGTTTACATGGCCGCGCTCGATCTCAAGGTCTCAAAAAATAATCAAGAATTTTTTAATGAAAAAAATTATTTGGGACTGCAAATTTTAGTCAATGTAATCATACCAATTAAAAAATTCGCTGGAGAAAATTTCTCAAATGAAAACTTTAATAAAGTATATTCAAGCAGGCAGTATTGAGAAAAGTTTTGATGAGCTTTGTTCAAAACTCGATGAATGTATCAATTCATTAAAATTCCTCCAAATTCGTGTTGAAGAAGTAATTAAATAATTCAAAGCCGACCAAGTTGACTTAAATAAAGTGAGTTTAAAAATTAATTTCTCGAGTTTCGAATTTTTCGATTCAGGCAAGATTGTTAAATTATTTCATTTACAATAATCATGGTTTCTCGAAGAAATGAAAATTGAAAAAGAAATTGGTGATGTCAAGAAAATTAGAAAGTAGTTTCCTCAATGGTGGTTAAAGTCAATGCAATGCATAATACAATGGAAAGATTAATAAGCGGGAGAATTAACTCTATACATGATCAAAAGAAAATCGATAAAAATTTCCGGGTTCATAAGCTAAATTTTACGGATTATAAAGAAATTCATGTTGAACCGCGGCAGAGTGTGACTAAATGGGTAGCTGTTAAAGATCAAAGTCAAGAATTTGCATTCAAGAATATTTCTAATGCAAAAGATGACAAAAATAGTATACAAAATCAAGTTACAATTCTTAAAGAATTTCAATATTGTCAAGATATTCAAAATATTATAAATATTTATGGACTGGTCAATCATTCGAATATAATTTATTTGGTAACAGAATGGGCTGAATTTGGAAATTTACGCGAATTTTATACAAATCATAAAGATCGATATGATACGAAATTAAAATTACGAATATCCCTTGATATTGCTCGTGGATTAAATTTTCTAAGATCTGTTGATGTAAATATTTATTTTAATTGCTTCAAAATTTAACTCTTTTAGTTTTAAATTGATTAATTTGAGATTTTTTTTTTTTTTTTTTTTTTTTTTTTTTTTTTTAGATTGTGCATCGTGATATTAGATCCAAGAATATTTAATTACATTAGATGAAAAAGCGAAACTTGCAAATTTTAAATTAAGTCGGTCTCAAGTGATGATAAATTAAATCATGGTGTAAATTTGGAACGTGTTCGCTATTGTGCTCCGAGTTGTTGGAGAGGGCTCCAGATTTCAAACATGATCACAAGTGTGAAGTTTTAAGCTTTGGAATCTTACTTTGGGAAATCGCTGAAGCGAGAATTCCGTATAAAGAATCTGATGATATTCTGTATATATCCAACCTTGTACGGAAGAAAAAATATCGTGAACCATTTTCTAAAATTAGCGGAATCCCCGAAGAATTCAAAAAATTGGCCATAATGGTATGTAAAAAATTACTTTTATTTTTGAGATTTTTTTTTGCAAAATTTAAATTTTTTTTTTTTGTACTTTCTGTTCTTTAGCTGTTAATCCCGATCCAAATTTCAGACCCAAAACTTACTGATATGGTTAAAGTTCTTGGAAATTGTTTCAAAAGATATCCGTATAATTCTTCATCAAAATCTATTTATTCAGTTCCTTCACCAAACCAAAATTTTGAATTGTCAAAGCCGAAACGATCATTCAAAATTGATCAAGAAGATAAGTTGCCAGATTTTACATCATTCAGTTACATGACAATGTCTGAAGCAGTAAAGCAACATAAATGTGAAAATGAAGGAGATAAAATCGCTGCGTATAGATGTTTCGATGCTTATTCAAAATATGATCAAATCAAAGCTAAATATTATAAGGCATATTACAATGAATTACATCTTAGCCCTAAGGAAAGAGATAAAGTTGCCGCGAAATTATTTAAAGAAGTCGCTGATCATGATGAAGCAAATGAAGTTCCTGAAGCGAAATTTAGATATGGAGATTGTCTATATAATGGCAAAGGTGTTGAAAAGAATCTTTCAGAAGCTCTCAAATATTTTGAAAAAGCTGCGGATAATGGTCTTAAGGTAGCGATGTATAATGCAGGACATTTGTATTATAATGGCATTGCTGGCAAGAAGGATGAACAAAAAGCTCTTCATTACATGAAATTGGCTGTTCATAATAATACGAACCTGCTATTAAATTTTGTAGGGATCATAACATTGCATTTTTATTCTGTTAATATCTTTTTTTTATTCAATAAATGTTCTCGTTTTTTGGCACACAGATATCATATTATTATTAATTTTATTTATAGTATATTGAGAGCAAAGTAAAAGTTTTTGTATTTTTGCCGATAATCAATCATTTATTTGCTATATTTATACATAAACACTTTAAGCAATATTAAATTTCAAAGCAAAGCAACTTTAATATCGTAAAAATAATTTTAATTTCGTCATGACATGATAAATCCCTCTCTGCTATAAATATATATAATAGACTTAAACTTACCAAATCGTCGTATTAAATGAGAATTTCTTTATAATATAATTTTAAACATTTTTCTCCTTGTGCAACTCAAATCAAATGGAAAACTGAAATAAAAAGAAACAAAAATACACATCACGAATTTTCAATATGGTATTAAATACTATTGTGTTTTTTTTTTAAAAAAAAAAGTTCCAAATTCCAGTAAGACAATTTCGTCAAATTAATATTATAAATCATAGTTTTCTAATTTTGAAATTACTTTGCGCAGTTCTTTTTTTAACAAGATTTTTTTATTGTATCACCCAAATTAAACGAATCTCCATTTCCGTACTTACTTTAACGTTAATCCATTATAAAATCTAAAAAAAAAAAATTGAATCTATTTTTAGTAGCGCAGCGGCTATAATAAAAATATGGAGGCCACTTGTCATCTTTATAATATAATTTCTTTTGTATAGAAAAAAAGAATAGTAGCGAAATATCAAGAACTATAAAACGAAAAAAAAAAAAAAATTCAAAAAAAATTCCTTACCTAATGATCCAACTCGAAAGAGAAACTTTAAGAAAAAATGAGAAAAGCGCGGAAAATAAAAATATTTGATCGCTGCGACTCGATTAGAAAAAAAAAACCGGAAAATGAATGCTAAAAATTGCTACACATTAGGCCTGGAAAATAGATTATTTTAGATTCTCATAGCCCGCCCGTATCAGTTTTTTCAAAAAATTTTTGTAAGTATTACGCGATTAGTACATGTAAAATATAAAAAAAAAAAAATAGCGTAAAAGCATTTGTATAGTCTTATTTTAATGTATTAAATCACCTGCTCTTGAAGAGTATTACACTTAAGTGAAATTGATTTTCAGATTAAATTTTTAAAATTTTTTTTAAAAAGAAAATAAAATATTTCCGGAACCTGATTTTCCTAGCAATCAACCCAAATAATGGAAATGTGGTTCAGAGACAATGATTTTAGGCTTTCCGCATAAATCAAAATTTTGCATTTACTGCCACATTAATTGCAAATCTTTATGTGCAACATATAGAGAAGGAAAAAATTAGGATAGTAAAAAATGCCTAATTGTCGATCAAAAACTATAAAATCTACAGTAAGTGAAAGATTTTATTTTTCAGATTATTTATGGTAATAAATAATATCGATCGTAATAAATTGATATGCTACAAGAAACATCGGAGGCACAGTTAAATTTTATTTAGTGGTTAATTTTTGTAAGCGAGGAGCATCATTAAGTTTATCAGCTCGAATTTTACGTGCATTATACAATTGAACGGGCCCTAAGATTCCTTTTATTCATTCTATTTATTTCATATTTCAAAAGAATCCATTATCATTTTGAATGAATAAGGTTAGATTGATGATCGACATGTATTGCGCAGTGAAAATCCGCAGTTATTGATCTTCCTATGTGATATACACTCCCACTTTTTATATTTCTATTTACAGTTAATTGGTTTGCTTTCTCAAATCAAAAAAATTTTTAGAAAACATTTCCTTTCAGTTTGCATGGTTTTTAATTTATTTCTTGAAAAACTTTTAGTTTTTCATCTCCGTA